GTCTAAGCTTAGTACAGATCCCACATTATTATGGAAAAGATGGTAAATGATTCAGACTGCCTTAACTTCATTTTACCCAAATATTTCCCTACTTCCTTTACTAGGTTAGGGCCAGCAAAGAAGCCAAGGGCTCAGTTACAGGATAGCAGGAGCCTAGCTCCCAGGCAGTCTCTGAAGGATAGAGAGGAAAACAAACCCAAAATACTTTAGTGAATGGGATTTGTTTCTAGCTCCATTGTTCCTGTGAACAGCCGGCACTTCAGCAGGAAAGAAAACTAAAACAAAAGCAGGAAGCTGGCTGTAGTAAATAAGGAATAGGTATGCTTCACATCTGGTTGTTGACAAGTTCCCCACAATCTCCACTGTGTTCCCTCCTCAACGCATCGTCTCTTTATTTCAGTAAGGTCTTCTAGATGGAATGATTTGCCTAGGATTTCCAAAAGCAACCTTGCTATTTTGGGGCTGGAGAGAGCCACAAGGTGTGGAAGGTACAGGAGAAACGATTCATTCCAGTCTTTGCTAGTGTCAGTGTCCTTCCTAGATGTCTGCAGTATCTGCCAGGTTTGCTCTCCTGCTATTCCTATAGGAGCAATTTGGACCTCGTGGTTGGTGGCATTTAGCCTGCTTTGTCCTTCCTAGAGTCACAGGGCAAGGTCCTTGGAGAGCAGTGGATCCCCAAGCATCGGCTGACGCAGCCGACAAGCATTGCATTTGTGTATAGTCTAAGGACACTGCACGGGTTTTGGGTCCCCTCCAAGTTGTGAGTGCAGCTGTGCTTATTAAGTCAACACCTGGAAGCCAGCGACAGCTCAGAGACTAAGCAACAGCAGGCAGTTTGTTCTCGAGTGGGTAACTTCTCCCCAGGGGCATGCTTTACACTGAAACCCACTAGGAGAATGGAAAATTCAATGCTCCAAGTATCCTATTAGGAACAGCTGTGTGCACAAACAAAGTATTAACTGATGTAGGTGGGTGCAGGGCTGTGTGTGTTTGCACGGGCATAGGTATATATACAAATATATAAGGTTTACAGGCATTGTATTGGCAATCGTATAGTATGAGTGTCCAAGTGAATAAATAATGTGGCTGATTAAAAGGCTCTGGAACACTGCTTCCCTATTACTTGCAAAATTCAAGGCTTAAAATTTCTGGATCCTGTAATAGCCAGAATGTGGCATACTTTCAGCCCACAGCTCCATTTAGAAGGCAGAGCAAGGTGGGAACCTTGCTACCCTGTTTGGCTGTCCTCAGTTTGAAGGTAGCTACCCAGCAGCCTAAAGCTATCAGTCTTCATGAAACTTCATAGGTGAAAAACTCATGCATTTTGAAAACCACTGATCACCTGTGTAATACAGTAAGCCACAGCAGCAGCTACCTGTGCTCCATCCTTTCTTTAGAGAGGGTGAGGTCTTTGCAAGCATGGATTTTTACCTGTATCCCTTCAGTCTTTGTCTCGGCCAGGGATGCTACAAGCAGAGTTGCAGTCGGGACTCCTGCCTAGTCTGTAGGGTTCCTGCTGTTTTTCCTTATGCATCCATTAGATATAAAACTGCAACTACTACCTCTGTTTTCAGGCTGGGCATCTGTCCAGGCTGGGAAATCAAAACTATTTCTCTCTTGTGTAGGATATTTCTAGACCTCGGCCACCGCAGAGAGCTTTGCCAGCCGATCCCATCCCAAACAGACCCAGAGCCTGGCCAGGGCACAGCTCTGCCATCTCGCTGCCTCCTGCACACACTAGAACTCCAGGACAACTCCAGCCTGTGACAGAGGTAGGCACTGAGCACAGTGATGGGAAGCCCAGCAGCGTCCCCTCACCACGAGGGAATAAAAGTATTCTGAAGGGAATAACCTTGCTATCATGTAAAACATGCACAGCGCTGGTGGGTGGAAATGGAGAGGCTGTTGGGTTGATTGCCTTTATTGCAGGGCAATAAAGTTTACCTGATCCTTATTGATTTACTGAGTTAAGCAAAACAGTTGACTCAGTTCTCCGCATCCCTGAGCACTTCCTCAGGTAAGACATCTGGGAGAATTTGCTACATGATGTGTTAGGGTAAGAATGCATGTGAATGGAGACAGGCTTTCCCTGGCTGCTGTAACATCAGCTCCAGGAGGAGAGGGCAGTGTCTGCTCTTTCATCAATGCTCACTCCTCTCTCTTTTCCCTTTTTCCATCTCATCCAGAATACTGGTGTCAGGACAGCTGGAGCAATGAATGTCTTGAAGCCAGGCTCCCGTGGGCACTCATGAAGCACACTGTTCCTGGCTGGCTCCAACCTTCACAGGACACTGGATGGCCTTCATCACCCAGAAACCCATTCACGGCCACAGGCAGGGTCTTGGCTCCTCTCCTCCAGCCTCCCATTTCCTATGTGACTCAACAAGCTGCAGTCAGGCTTGGCAGGAGTGCCTCCAGGAACTGCACTGGTACGTGCCAAGCTGAACTCAACCCTCTCTGCTGATAGCGTTTTCCATATAGGAATGACTTGTCCATACGGTATTTAAATATTACTGTGCAATATCCAGTGCTGGGATGGAGCTATTTCATGTGTTTCTAATCAGTTGTTTAAGTCTTACCAGGGAGGACAAGCTCTGAGTGCAGGTGCTGGCCTTGGTGGACTTTCATGTAAGACCTAGCCCTGTTGGCTTCCTCAGCCCATCCACACAGCTGCAGGAGCATAGGTTGGTGCTATACAGAAACCACTGCCTCCTGGGACAGCAGAAGGCAGCTGTTGGAACTTTCTTTGGCTTATTCTCAGTTTACAGTGGGTGGCAAATGAGGCCACAACAGGGGGCAAACCATGAAAATATTCCCGGTTGAAGTAATTTGTGGGTCACAGTGGATTTTGATTAGCTTTAATAGAGTGGATTGTTTTCCCCATACAGTCATCTTCAGCAAGAGCACTGCAACCTGCCTGTCCTCCAGCACTCGCTTGTCTTGCCTCAGTGCTGTACGACAGGAAAGCATCCCCAGTGCAGCCCGTGTGCTCTCATCAGTGGCACTGGGACATAGTCAAGGTACGACAGAGAAACTCTGACAAGAGCAAATAGCCAGAAGGAAGCTCAGCAAAACCCAGTGCTGAAACCTTCTCTCCAACATGCGGTACCATGGATCAGTGACATATTTGCACGTGTCTCCTCAGGCTTCAGCCTGTGCTGAGCAGTAGTTCAGCATGGGCTGTCTGATCCCCATACCGGTGCGAAACTTACCTTCAAATTGCCCAGGTGGTAAACCAACATGAATATTACTGCAACACATGGTGCTTTTGTGGGGCAGCTCATTTACTCCAGGTTTTTTCTCCAGTATGTGAATGGAGAGAGCTGTCTGTGTGCACTTTAAGCAGCTGATGGTTCTGACCCTGAGGACCCTCCCTTATGACCTCCTTCTTTTTTTTCCTCCCAACAGTTTGGGCTGTTTTACATTGTTTTTTCCTCAGGATTTTAAATTAAGACCTTTAGTTATGCCAGATTTTTTCCTTTTCTTTTTTTTTTTTTTCTTGAAATGATTCCCTTGGAGAACACAGGGAATGCTGGAGCTATGGCTACAACAGTTCTGTTGTGTCTGATTTATTATGGACAAATCCTGTGATTGCTGCTGTGCATGTGAGAAACTGTATTATTGGCATAAAGTCTTGTCCGATGGTTCTCTCCCAAAAGTTATTTCCCAAAGATTGGAAAAGACCCAAAATATAACAAAACAGATAAGCCCTAAGCACTCATTAAATGTGCAGTTATTTGTAGCAGTTAAATGACTTAAATCGTACTAGGTTTTGCAACTTCACTACCTCTTTCTCCACAAGGAAACAGTACATAGGGTCTGTCTTGAATTTCTCATAGATTATTCCTTGTCTTGACCATTTTGGACCTTTTGTTACCTTCTATATGCCTGGAACAAAAACCATCCTAAAATACTCCCCAAAATAAGGGATGGCAAGTGAAGAAACATCAGCTTTCTAATGTTTTAATGTCTTTTTTCTGTAGTTGGAATATATTACATATAAACAACCTATTATCAAACAACCCCCAAATATGCTGTTTCTTGGGGTGCAGCTAATGTTGCTATGTAATGGTGTGTTTTACTGCTCACAGGTGGAGCAGTAGGCTGGACACATGCTGTGCGTACACTGTAGTAGTACAGCTTCAACCACAAGAACCTGACCTTGTATCTGAGCCCTCACTGAAGGCAGCAGCAGACTTCTGCTGCAATCAGTGATCTTTATCAAAATGCTACCAAAAAGTATCACTAAAACTATTTTCACTGTATTTTATGTGATCACAAAGCCCATGGGCACACAAAGCTCAGAGAACTGCATGTGCCCAAACTCTAATGGAAAACCTTATCGCTGGAATGCCATAAAGTCTCCAAAAGGTAGTTTTAAGTAAATCCTGTTAAGTTTTCATATATGTGCAAGTTGAGTGAATGAGAACGGGGGAACTGCGGGAGGAGTGAAGATGGTGAAACCTTGGGAGAACAGATACCAAAATACATCTCACTTTCTCCTGTGTCCACATATTAATGGTTTACAATAATGTTCTCTATGCAAATACTTGAAGAATGCAATTCATTGTGCCTTTTGCCTGGTTTTAATAAATTTGTCAGTTGTCATTAGCAAGTGTGTGTCGTTAATCAGTGTGCCATATCATTAACTCGATTCAAACCTTCATTTTAAATATGGCATTTGTCCACAGATAGCAGGAGTAAATGACTTTTATGAAATGCAGCTCTAGGAAGTGAGGAAAGAAGATCCCAGTTACAGGCTTTTCTAAGGTTAGATGCATAAGGCATTACACTAATTACGATGTCAAAAAGAAGCCCGAGACAGTTACTTGGATTATTTTCTGCTACCAAACGAGGGCGCTGCTGGTTTATTTTCTGCCCAGGTGCTCTTTTTGCTGTACCCAGCCGTCCCTCAGCCTGTTTATCTTTTAGGGCCTCACCATTAAGATCAGACAAATCACGAAAAACGTTCAGGTTCACCCGCAACGGTGTTTGTTGGTTTTTTTTTTTTTTTCTTCTTTTTTTTTTAGAAAAAGCCTTTATTTCGTTTTCCACATTCCAAAAAAATATAATTGAAATGTTGTTACAAGAGATTGCATATTCCCACCCCCCAAACCCATGTTGCATTTGCTCAGCGATGCTCAGACCCAGGTATAATAAGCTCAGCATCTCAGACAGCATCAGTCCTCCAGGGCTAGCCCAGCCACAGCTGCCTCTGGATCAAGCCAGCCTGACAAAGCTGGCTCAGGCCTTGCTGCTCCCTGTTTGGGATTTATTGTGAGAAGATGTGCTCAAATCTCCGTTTGCAGCAGGATGAGAAAAACTTAACTGCAGCAGTACCTCCCTTTTTCACCTTCCAGATTAAAATGTTATTTCTCACATAGCTTCATCTTCACCACTGACAGAAATCCAAGGGGGGTTTGAAGGTGACCCGTGTGCAAGAGTCCAGGTAACATCCATGCTGTCAATAGAAAGATGGAGAGGCGTGAACACGACCACTCTGGAGTAAACTGCACCCCTACAGCTCTGCAGAGCATCATTCACTTATGTCTGCTCATCTTTTAACATACAACTCATACCTCCCTTTAAACAACAAAAACGCTTTTGAGTTTAAATGATAGCAGGAGAAGTCATGGGGCTCCAAGAGCTGGGAGGCTCTCCAAGGTCAAGACATTTCCTAAGAAAAAATACACTGAAAAGTTACAGCCATTTGCTCTTTCATCCTGAAAAGATTTTCACCAGCCACAAAGTCTTGCAGACAGTGGCAGTGTTTCTCCTGACATGGAGTTTATCTTGCCAGAGCTCCCAGCCTGAGCAGGGCTGCCCCTTGCTAAGTGAGGTCTAAAACAGGGCCAGTGGCTTCACCAATCACACCAGCATGGCCTGGGCACCATTGCTGCTAAGGAAAAAGCCCAAATAAAGAAAACGCCACATAAAGCTAAGTAACGCTAACTAGTTACTAACTAGTGCTGCAGGGAAACTCCTGCACCTCACAAAAACCAAAAGCTGAAAAAGATTTGCCATCATCCTATAAAATCATTTCACGGGTCCTGCCACTGAGCCTGAGTGAATGCCTTCTCAAAAAATTCACCATGTTTTGCCCATATTCACCAATATTCTTGTCCCATATTTGCAAAGCAAGTAATTAATAAGGATGAGCAGAGCTTAAATAGATGTGCACCACTCAGTCCTTGTCTCTTACCTGTCAGAGATACTGGTGTGTATTCTGGAGCTCATGCAAGTGCCTAGAAAGAGGGAAAAAAGGACAAAAAAACACTAATCAGTGATTCAGTCAGGGCCTGGAAATAAACACATCAATGGCCACTTGGGGAAGGAGTGCAAGAGTGAATGTTAGAATTCCCTGCCAAGAATAAGAGATGGGAAGGGGCCTCAGAGATCATATTTTAAGAGGATTTTCATTTTCAGTGGCTCCATGTATTAAAGCCCAGTAAGGACTAAACCCGCTCCTTGCTGCCACACCATAACAAAGATCCAATTCAAAAGCCCAGAGAAAGACTTGGTTTAACTCTACCAAGCTTTGGATAAGACGCTGTTGGTTTTATTTTCTGCCTTTCCTGTTTAAACTGCTCACTAGCATCCGGAATATTGACATCAGCCCATTCACCCAACCTCCAGACCCTTGCATATAACACATTAGGTGTAGATCATGAATACTTTGGGTTTATCCTCTGGGGCAATGCTGGAGTTGTCCACCTCTATCAGGATGTTCTTGTCATCTCGGGTGACTGGCGCTTGCTGCCCATCCTGGAGGACCTGTGGTAGATTTCCTAAACTGACATCCATGTCTTTAAAGGCATGGAGTAAAAACACCCCCAAAATGATGGTGAGGAAGCCACAAACTGTCCCAATGATGTCAACAACAGTCATGGTGACCCACTCCTTAAAGAGGATGACGGAAGTTGTAATGACGATGGTGGTGAACAACACGTAGTAGATGGGAAACACCAAAGATGTATTGAAAATGTCTAGAGACTTATTGAGGTAGTTAATTTGTGTGGTGATGGATGCCACCAGCGTGACGACTAGGATCCACGTCAATGGGTGCTGCAGCACAGGCTGGCCGGCAAAGAAGCCTTTAATGGCAATCCCCAGGCCCTTGACTGAGGACACGGAGAAGGCACCAATAACAGAGCAGATGGTGAGGTAGATGAGGATGTTGCTCTGTCCATAGCGGGGTGCGAAGTAGAAGATCAGGAGGAAGCAGACAGCCAAGAGGATCGCAGCGTAAGCAAGGAAACCTGGAAGAGGAAGAGAAGTAACTCAAAACTGAGCAGTGGGCATGAGGAGCAGTACATGCTGCCCACCCCCAAGAGAGAACACAACCTCCTGCGTACCTGGTTCTTTCAGCTTAGAAGACATTTCATCCAGAGTGGTGACCTCCTCGTCCTCTGGGGCATGTATCACCATCACAGTGCTGCCCACGAGGCTCAGCATGCAGCCCAGCTTTCCCAGCATGTTGAGCCGTTCTCCAAGCAAATATGAAGATAGGATGGCACTGCACAGGGCAGAAAAATGTCAGCAGTTCCTTTAAAGTCCTTTACAGAAGGAACAGGAGCTAAAATAAGGTAAAGAATGTCTTAATGTGATAAAAGAACATACATTTAGAGCAAATTTGTTGGATCCTAGTGTGTTATTACACAATCACATTGCATCTACTGACAGCTGAACCCGCAGAGATGCAGGTGTGATCTCCAGCTCACAGCTCATGTATCAGCAAGGTGAGGAAAATGCTGAATGCGTTAGCACACCCTCAGGAATATTTCAAGGTCTACAGATTCACTTAGGAACTGTTGGCCCTTACTATGCCTTTAGAGCCCAAGGAAATGACTTCTGGGAAAAACAGAGAGAAAAAATCCCAACCAAACAACAAAAGAGCTCCATCAGTTGTAACTAAATCATCAGAACTATTAAGGCCCAGAGAAGCTCTGAATGTACGGATGCTACAGACATCTCTGCAGAAATACCTAGTTGTTGTCCATAAAAATTTGGGACAAGACACCGGAGCAGCCCTAACCCTCAGTTTGCTTCTGCATTTCACAATAACAAACTTTCTATAGAGCCTTCACTACCTGGAGTCATGTATTTTGATATGAAGCTCCTTCTTAAAAATTAATAAAATAGGGTTTCAGCCCTTTTAACAACAGACAGAAATACAAATGCACAACATTAAAGCACCCTAAAAGCCTAGGACATAAAAGGCAAATGACAGGGTTTAAATACAAGCCTGACATTTTTGACCCTTTTATATTTTCGTGCTGTTCACTATGAGAACAACATAAAACAAACAAACAAAACTTCAAATTGGTAAAAGAACTGTAATAAAGAAGAAAATAACACTGATATTTGCAATAACTTATGTCCCCAAAGGCATGCTACTTAATTCATCACTTTCCAAATGATCCCCCTAAAGGACAACATCTAGAAACCATGGGACATTTTTTCCTTTAGGCAGAATAAATCATATTCCTCTCACTTCAAATCTTTCTATCTTCCAAGACAAACAAGCAAACAAAAAGGCAAACTGCAAATTACAGACACATAAATCACCTTATGAGAACGCTCAGAGCCCCCAGAGGCGTCACAATCGTTGCAGGAGCAAAGGCATAGGCAGCAAAGTTGGCAGCTTCCCCTCCACCCACTAAACAAACACAAGAAAAATAAGTAGCAATGGGTTACAGCAGGCTTCCTGTGTTTTCTCTTTGGGGCTTGCAACCTAGTGAGACATCAGTTAGACAGTGGTATTTTTTATAAGGGATTCCATGCTGCTGCTAAACAGGGCCAGGTAATGGGTGCGAATCTACTACAGATTAATACAAGGAGAGAAGCATCCCTACAGCCCAGCACTACATGGAACAGGGCTGTGGGTGCCAGGGCTTGACCTTGTCACAGCTGATCCATATGAGCTCATTAACACAGGCAGCTGCACTGAGTCTGGGTGGTTAATGAGGGGTGGGCACAGTGCTGGGTGGCAGCTCCTCACCTACAAAATGTCTCTCCATGGGGCTGTGGTGTTGTTCTCTGGCAGAGATGTCCTTGTTCCTTGAGCAGTGAGTATTGTGTGCTTGCTTATGGGTTGTGCTGTGGTGGTTATGCAGCAGGAGCTGCAAGGGCAGAGCAAGGTGGGGGTACTTGGAGCTGCTGCAGTGGTGAGAGCCAAAAAAGACTGCTCCGAAAGACTCTCTTGTAAAACCTGCTGCTCTCTAAATGGCTGTGATTCCATTTGGGAAGATAATGTAATGTACAGCATCCAAAATGGTTTTAAGGCTGGCTTTAAGAGAAAACAAGCTTTCCTCAAGAAAGGAACTGCTACCAACACCTCCTTCTTATCACCCCTGTGCAGCAGCAGTAACCTCCCGGAGGCCCCAGGCATGCATGGGAGGTTGTTTGCCCTGTGCCTGGTATGCAGGCAGACCATCCAACTACCTTATTAAAACCTGGCTTTTCATGCATTTGATCCGGTAAAACTGAGCTATCAAGTCCTACCAGCCCTGCAGGAAGATGGGAGATTCTGTGTGGCTCACTGCTTTCCTTGAGGTGCCTCTGCTGAGGATGGGGAACTTGCCAGGAAAAAGGATTTAAGCCACTAGATGCTGGGCTCATTCTACACCTGATTCACAGGGACAGCCACACTGGAAAAGCTGAAAACCCAGAAAAGCAGCTTCTACTTACTGGTTAACAAGCCAGCCCACCAGAGCCAGTCCTTTAGGTAACCATGGCCTCCATCTCCTGGGGAAGCAAAGCACACAGATATGCAGGAGTTAACAACTGTGTTCTTCAGAGCAAGAGATGGGAAACAGCCTTTTGTAGAGATGTAAATTGCAAGAGGAAGAATGCGACAAAGAAAGCTTCCTGGAAGGACTCAATATGCAGAGATGTCCTATATGGAAATTATGTTGAATCAAGGGATTAGCAGAGGCTGGCACTTAGGGCTGGACAACACAAATACAATAAAAACAGTGATTTAATCCTGGGTGGCAGTGGGAATGACACCTATTGGCCCAACGGTTATGGGCCTGGGATGCAGCCTGCCCTGCTGCAGCAAGGGGCCTGGGGCTGCCCTTCAGCCCTGGCAGCTGTGGTCATCCTCACCGATTCATCAGGATGCATCAGCCTCTCAATGCATCAATAAACACCCCAGCTGAGCTCCCAATAGACTGGTCATGTCTTGTCTGGCATGTTCCACTTGCCTGTTCCCTGTGCATCATCCTGGAGCAGAGGGATGAAGGATGGCAGGGGCTACTCTGTGCTGGGTACCCTCCACCCAAAGACTGCTCTCTGTGACACTGCCAGCTGCATCCTGCCTGTGAGGAACCTTTGCTTCACCTCATGTTGCACTGCCTCGCTGTGGAGTCTCACGTATGGACACTAAGGTAAGGCAATGAGTTTTTCCAAACCTGGTTTTCTAATTCAAGTGAGGGTTATAGCTATGAAGGACGAAGAGAGGAAACGATGGCTTGTTGTTCTGTGCAGGCATGTGGTGCCATAGTTTGTGTTGCTGTATGGTTGTGGTGAAGGCTCCCTGTGTCCTGTACCAGTGGTTATCTGCTCCATTTGTACACTGCCTTGTATCATAGTTGTATCATAGGGCCTCAGCCTGAACTGTCAGAAATCCTAATGTTAACTTCATGTGCATCATTATGTGACTGAGCATTTCTGATGAAAAATGATTGCTGGCATTGGAACAGCTAAATGGAAGAAAATGTGCATATAAATGAAGAATGGACACACTGTGCTGGGAACTAATCCAGCTCTGGTCTTAACCCACATGTTGTTAGATGTAAGGAGCTTGAGTTTGATGACATTGTGAACCTTGATTTTGCTGGGTAAGAAAGAGCCTGTGCTCTTGCTAAGTCTGACCTGACTGGTCAGTAACACAAGTGCTTGACCTGCCTTGGAGAAAAGTGATGTGCTCTCAGATAGCAGGGATGAAATACTGGGACTGAGAGATTAAAGGACAAGACAGGAAAAGGGGGAATGAAAAGGCAGACATGAATTGTTCGGGACATGTGAAAAAATCTTTTGCTTGAACTCAGCCTCTTGTTTTTCAACAACTTCAAATGTTATGCTTTGGTATGCCTTAAAAAATTGCTGATTTATTTGCTGTTGGGGGTTTTTGTTTGGCTGGGTTTGTTTCCCAAGAACTCTTACTGTCAGCTATGGTTGCATGTCATGAATCTCTAATTCTTGGTTAAACAACCTGAAAAATAGGGAGGGGTTTGCACTTGGTTTACTCACTTGGCTCTGTTGTGAGAGGAGTTCATGGAGGGAAGGAGAGGGGCATTTTCTACAGTCAAAACAATAGTGGTGTTTCACTGTGCAGATATAATGCCAAAAAAGCAGACCTTTTTGAGGTTAGCAGTTACATATGGGCAGCATAATGGCAGAGAATGGAGATGGACCCAAGACTTGCCTACAGCTCAGGTGCTGTTGGCTCTGGACTTGACCTATGCCTCTATGTCCCCATTTGGGAACACTGATATTTACTTCCTTTGTAAAATGAATTAAGAGTTGTTCCCAGGCCAGAACTGGGCAGCAGTAGTATTTTAATTATCATTATTTTGTTTTGTAGTTATGCAAGTATGTCAGTGCCAGGTAGGGCTGAAGCTGTTGCTAGAGTGCATGTTTACAGTGCTGATGGGATGTGTCAATTCTACAGTGCAATTCTGCTGTAGGCAGTGCTCCTCCACCGTTTCCCATCCACATATATGTGCACATAAACACACACCTCTCCCTGAGAGCTTGGTGCTAGAGGAAAGTTATCCACATGTTGAGTAACTTAGCTCGGAAGTATCCTTCCTGAAGACCACAAGCAGAGTTCACACAGATTTCAGGCTTGCAGTCTTGCATTAATGAATGGCTTTTGCTAATGTAATTAAAGCACATGGGGCCTCATCCTTGTCTCAGTGACTTGCTGGTAAAACTGCCTAGTGCATCAATAAGGGCAAGAGTGGGGTCATGGAGCTGTGCTGTTCTGCTGTTTGGCATGGTGATGACTTGTACCATTTTGCAAAGGGGGCCATTTCAAAGAGCTTTCACGCCAACTCCTCGCACACAGCCTAGCTGTGATGGATGTGTATTATTCCTCTTATCACATAGTGCATGTGACTTGCTATCTGCAGTGCAAGGCAGGGGAATGCTGCTTTTAGCTCAGCCATTCCAGTGCAGGCTCTGTAAATTAGCTCCTCTGCTCCAGCACAGTGCTGATATCTAGGTCTTGCAAAAATACATCCACAAAAGGTCTTATTTACATTGCTTATGGAAGCTTATGTGTATCCAGACGTGTTGCCTTGCCTTATGAGTGCTGGAGTTCTGGGAACAGGTGGATCTCCCCCTTCTTACCCCCACAAAAGCCATACCTGCCCTGGTGCCTCCCTTCTCCACCAGCCGCAGCAGCCCCTTCTTCTTGAGGATGACACTACTTCCGATGAGGAAGCTGGAGAAGACAGCCAAGCCCAGGCCAATGTAGAATCCATAACTGGTTTCTAGCCGGGTTACCCAGGAGTTATCCGAAGTCCCATTGTCCCAGACAGGGTCAGCATTGCCAATCACTTGGCACACAACCCGGTGGGAAAGGCACGAAAGGGTGAGCAGAGACCCTGTACAGATAAAACAGCAAATTATTGCTATGACTATCAACAGTGCCTCTATTGTCCTTTGGACTCATTCAGATGTCCCTCTGAGCAGATACCCATGCTCTCACCCTGAGGGCACACACCCACCAGCCCCCAGGACACCTCTTTAACTGCACATGGAAATAGCAACGTGTCGAGTGATAGATTTGTGATGTTCAAGCAGCTCATTGACACTGAATATGCCTGCCAGCCTAGAAAACTGGCACAAGTTTCTGAACTGGAATGGAAAAGCCACAGGGATCACTATAATAAAGAAATTTGAATTTCCAAATATTTATGCCAGTCTCTGCACCAAGCTCCAATGTCTGGGTTTGAGCTACGCCTTATCGACACTCAACCTTGTTAATTCAAAGGCTTTTGTGCTTTCCAGATAACTAATCCTTGTAGCTGCCAGCATGCCAGCTTTGGGTTTGATGTGGAGCGATGCCAATACTTTGTAACTGTGCATCTGTTTCAGCTCTGTGTTCTGAGCAGTGCCATGGGATCACCGCTTGTAAAATAACAGGCTTGTCCTGGTCCAGACTTTAATCTCTGTTGTCTCTACTGTCTAAGGGTTTTATTTTACCTATTTGCAGAGTGCCTGGGTGCATGCTAAGCCCTGCCTGCCAGTGCGGAAGGACTGAAAGCAGGCAGTTTTCTGCTGTTAACACCAATAGCACTAATCCCCTGTGTCTCTAGCCAAGGTGTGTTTCTGTGTGTGGGAGGGAGAATTGCGGAGTTTATTCCTATCCTCACACCCCTACCACACCCAGCACATCTTTCTATTGCAATCTCCTCTCTGTGTGTAGCATGACCGACTGTGGGGAATGGAGGAGCCAGGTAGAGTGTCACAGAAGTCCCTTTGTAGGAAAACACTGTGATCTTCTGTCTAAACTCAAAGGAATTATAGAGCAAGTATTTCTGTCGTGCAGTGCAATGGCTGAACTGCTCATAGTCCTGTTGGCAGCCCCAGATTTTCCTGAAGTGACTGGCTAGTGCTTGCATCACTGCACCCCCAGTCCCTGGCATGTGTAGCTGAGGATCTGGATCCAAACTGGATCCAAACTTTTTCCAATGGAAAAAAATCCAGTGACTTTCTAGATGAGTTTCCAAAGATTCCTTAATAGGGCTTTTCTCGAAGAGAGAGCTATCCTTGACTGTGGAAGCAGTTCCTGGGAAACAGAGGGACATCTTGTCTCCTCGGCAGGGTAAAAGCCTCCACAACGTGCTACGAGGTACAGATATAAGGCAGTGGGATGGGGCTATTGCCAAATGGGTCAGGTAATCTTTAAGGAAGAAAAACTAAAACCCTAGGTCCTCTGCGTCTGCTCTAAGGCTGGCAGCGCTCGCTGCTGGCAGTGCAGTTGCGTGTGGCTTGCGCATGAGGTGAGTTTTCCCGTTCCTACACAGACTTCGGAAAAAGGGAAAGAACCCCTAAGTCCAGAGAAGCAGAGCAGTGACAGAGAACAGCCCCGGAGCCGGGAGGGCAATACCGGGGAACCGGGGCCCCCGCCACCTCCCGGGGCTCGCCCGCTCCCCCCGCGCTGCCCCGGCCCGGGGCGCACCCACCGTTGCTGCAGCTGCTGTTCGCCTCCAGAGGCTCCATCTCCTCCGTGCTCCGGAAGGCTCAGAGCATCGCGGCGGCGCGGGCAGGAGCCGGGGCTGGGCCGGGCTGCCCGCTCACCTGCCCGCGCACCGGCTCCGCCTCCTCCGAGACCGGACGGGGTTGGCTCGGTGCAGGGGTGCTGGGTTCCCCTAGGAGAGCACCTCTGGCCCCGCTGCAGGAGGCTGAGCGGGTGCGGAGGTGGGGTGTGAGTCGAGTTGTATGACGTAGGGTGCGCACCGAGTGGCTTGTGTGTGCTGCAAAGCTGTGGAGTTCATACATGCACGGAGTATGGTGGAACAGGGAAGGAATCATGAGACATGGTCTGGACATTTTGTTTGAAATAGTTTAAACGTAAGAAAAAACAAGAGGGTAAACCCAGATTAGATACAAGGAAGAAATTCTTCACTATGAGGGTGCTGAGGGGCTGGCACAGGGTGCCCAGAGAAGCTGTGGCTACCTCATCCCTGGCACTGTTCAAGGCCAGGTTGGATGGGACTTGGAGCAAGCTGTCTAGTAGAAGGTGTCCATGCTCGTGCCAGGGGGGTTGAAAGTAAATGATCTTTAAGGTTCTTTAAACCCAAACTGTTCTATGATTTTTATAAATTAAATCCCATACTCCTGGAGAGTTCTCCTCTTACTTAAAAGTGTAACTGCAGTTAATATAACAAGGAAACGTTTCATAAAGTGTCTTGTTGCTTCAAACTTTGGTGTTTATTATGCTGCACTTAGTACTATGGCTGTGTACAGTAGGTTGTAGGACTGAAGGATGAAGTTGGGGGATAAGGAAAATGTACAGGTCTAGGGAAGATGGCTATGTCCTAATGGAACTTTGATGGTGGGTGCAGGGTTCCCTACATTGTGTACTCATTAGGCAAAGGCATGTTCTCTGCTGAAGGTCTGGCCAAATTTCTCTAATGGACATTCCTGACCTTTGAGTTGTAATGGGAAAGGCCTGGCTCCAGGCAAAGGTGCATTTGTAAAAGCAGTATCAACAGAAGATGAGTGTGTAATGACAAGGGCACTCTTATGCTGTAAAGTGTTGTGCAAAAGGAGATCAGAGGTTGCACAAACCACCACCACCACCAGCAGCTGTGATTTAAGACTTGGCTGCCTCCATGCTGAATCCCAGCCATGAGCTCCTCCATCACTTACATTCATTTTACACCCTTCTACTTCTGCCTGTTCAGTTGGTGGGTCTTGCTCATCATGACCACATAGTTCAGCCTGTACTATAGATTGGGGGCTGTCCATCCCATGCAGCCGAAGCCTCTCTTGCTAATACTAGTGTGAACATTTGGAGCATGCCTGGCAGTGTTCAAGGCCAGGTTGGATGAAGCCTTGGGTGGCACGATTTAGTGTGAGGTCTCCCTGCCCATGGCAGGGGGGTTGGAACGAGATGATCTTAAGGTCCTTTCCAACCCTAGCTATTCTATGATTCTATGCTGCACACTGTGTGTTTTGACTTCACCCCCACCCTCCTCTGCTGAGTCCTCCTTTCCTGTGTTTGTGCCTGGTGTCCCTGTGTATGTAGAAACCTATTGCCAGTACAAAAGCCCTTTCATTGCAGCAGGAGCCATGAGCCAGATTCAGCTGTAGGTCAGCAGAGATAAGTAAAACCAGTAGCTTTTCTTCAGCAAGCCCAAATTTATAGGCAGAAACGGTATCTGTCATAAAGGCAGAATAAAGATGTGAGATCTGCAGGATCTGAACCTGTCTGAAAATTAGGTTTTTCTTTCTTTTCTGCCCATAAAATATACCTGTTACTACGGAAATTGCCCTTAGACCATCAAGCAGCTGCATTGCCAGCACTGTGCAGCTCCTTCACTCAGTGCCTGATCCTATCTCTGCACAACTGTTTTCTCCAGCAAACGTAATGTTCAAGTGTTTTGTGAGTCATTTGACTTTAATGGGGTCTGTTCATCAGTCACAGACCTGCAGGTCACTGCGCCAGCCAAATCCTACGTCCTTTCCTTTATCATAGAGCACTTGATAATCAATCCAAATCGCGTGGTAGCAGGATTTGATGTAGGAAATGAAACGTGTGCTGGTTTATCAGTGATCTGGGAGCCACTTCTGCTGTTACATATACACAGGCAAAAGGCACCCTGGGAGAGACAGTGATGGCAGGGCTCAGCTTATTTAGTAAATTTAATGGCTGATGCTGTGTAAGAGCTATTGGTGCAATGTGTCACTATGAGGTTGATTGCAGAAAGTGAGCTGATGGCTTGAGATGGACAAGGGTTTGCTGTGCTCGCAGTGCTGCCTGCCTGTGACTGGCTGGGTCTGGGGGAATTCACATCTTGTGCTCCCTCACAGGCTGCTCTACCGTGTGCTCAGGTGATGTCCCCTTTGCTGGACTTTCTTCAGCACCCTGAGGTCTTGGTTTCAGCTGGAGAGTCCTAATGGTGTTGTGGTTATTGGCAGTTAAACTGTGTCCAAAATGATGTGTTGTTGACATCTGTGCAGACTGCAGTTGCCCACTGCGCACAAAGATGTGTTAGGGAGGGAGCAAATTTGTATGGGACAGATCTGGGCTTGAAATAATCCTTTAGGTCATGGTGCAACCTGATAAATTACTGCCATAAAAGAGGAGGTGATGCAGTCAAAAGCAAAAGGCACTTTGGGCCACAGCTTTACCTTCCCCTGTCAGCTTGATTTCTGAATGGAGAAGGCTGATGTGACCACATACATGTGTACCTCTTCTTCATCCCCAGAGATATTTGACCCCGTGGGCTACTTTTTGTTAGATTTGACAAGGGGAGAGATCTCCATGAGAACCTGTTAATCAGCTCTGGGAAGAGGAGACATTACAGGGAGGAGGTCCCAGCAGCAGGAGACTCTGCAGTGTGAGCATCTTGTGCATCAGGGAAGGCAGGTGCCCAGATGTCACCACTGTGTGAGAAGCTTCAGTCAGATCTTGCAATCACCCATGGGACACAAGTGTGTCATGGACTTATTTCTCTCTGGTGCAGGGGTGTGGTATATAAAATCAAGTCCCAGGAGTTGCATTTGATGGATTTAGTAAGACTGTGTATGGGGAGTTAAAAGCCAGATAGGATTAGCATAGAATTGCGTGCTATGCTTAGTCAAGGGCAAGTTGAGACTGATAACAATAAAGCAGGGATGCAACCAAAGCCTCTTTTTTTATTGCTTCATATCCTCATTTTAATGGGAAGGCTGTAATTAAGGGAATTCAGCTCCAAGCTGTGACCTCACTGGTTGATACTCCCATCAGATGTTCCCTTAAAAATAGTTCATCAGAAATCAGATTCTTCCTTAGCAGCTCATCTTCTAACAATGCAGCTCTTCCTGAAATACTGGTTTCCAAGCCAAAAACACTTGACTGGGTACAGCAAGGCAGCTTTGCATGCAAATAATGTCTTTGGCAACATCAAAAGGCTTTGTTTCCCCTGCTCCTCTCTGCTCATCTCTTCTGGTCTGGAAAAAACGATGGAAAAATACAGGATATGAATTGTCCTGCTGTACCAATAATGGTGGAAGGATCCAGCTAACAGGTGGTGGAGACTTTTGTCCTTTGATGTCTGCTAGGCATGGTGCCTGTGGAAACTTTCAGGACAGGGTTGCAGTATTCTGTTATGGCTTTGTATAGTTTTGAGAACTCAAAGGAGTTGTTTGCTGCTTCAAAGCAAGAGTAAATCCTCTTTCTGACAATGACCTGGTAGTGTAAGGAATAAGGGAATTGCCGGGTGTTCAGAAGATTGCAGCACTACATGAAAGGATGCTCAAAGCTTGAAAGACAACTTTGTTGGGCAGGCAGCTGTTAATTCAGCCTATCCCAAAGTAACCATGTCTGCAGCAGCTGAGGCTGTCATTTTGTGCCATAAGAATTTAGACACCACCACAGTAACACCCATGGTGTGTTCCCACCCTTGCTGTTCTGCCCTCCTTGGGCCAGTGCACATACCTGTGGGTCTGTGCTGTGGGGCAGCTGACTGATTCAGGCTCATTAGACCATAAAACACACCTCAATTAGTTTCTCCCAGGGTTGTTAAATATTTTATCCAGATCAGTTCAATGATAAAAGTTGCTGGCCCTATAAACCATCTATGTTGGCAGGAGTGGTAGGTTGATGATGGAGGTGGATACTCAGTGGGCAGTTGGAGGCCTCAAGGCATGAAAGCAGCAGTGGGTGCCACAAGATGAAGACATATGTAATCAGCAGATTGTTTGTTTGCAGACCTCTTATCTTCTTGGTGTTTGCATCAGAACTCTTAAAGCAAGCAAAACTAGGTATGAAAGGCACTTCTGGCTTGCAGAAGGGGTTGCAGAAAGGGTTAGTTATGCTTTTGAAAGAATAAAGCAATTGCTAATGAACTGTTCTTCACATTGGTGAAGTGCCATTTAATCTGAAGATGTAAATATATTTAGAAACATTAGGAAGAAGAAAGATGTGGGCCTGTATCTTTGATCCTGGTCCCCTAGGGTTGGTTGTCTAAAATTCAGTCTTGGACCCTCATGTTCAAAGCAAATATTGCTACTGGCTCCAGGTGAGACCATGCAGTATGCAGCACTTCTTAGGATGATGTCTCTGAGACAGCAGCTAAAATCAGTTAAAAAGGAAGAAAAAAGAAATCTTGATGGAGGAAAGGAAGAAAACCCAACAACCTGCCTAGTATCAGTGGCTGAATCAGAAGAAATTGCCACTCTCCTCTCTGCCATTCCCCATTACAGAACCATGTTGAAATCGGTAAACATTGGGCAACTTTCAGCCCTTGGGCAAACAGTCCTCCACAGCAGCATGTTCACACAGAGCTGCAGGCACATCAGGTGTGCCGTGACTTAAAGGACATCAGAAAGATCAACAAACTTGTGTGGTCATGGTGTAAAAGTTCACTTCCCATTTCATACGAAGAATCATTGCGTTTTTATTCCTAGGAAGTGTTCCCCACAGGGAAACCTTGGGAAGAAGATATGAAAGGGAACATCAATCACACTGTTCTGCCTAGAGCTGATGAAGCATAAATGCTCCCGGTCACATAGATCCACGTCAGTTCCTTCACCCCAGTTCCAGAGCTCCCAGGACATCACTTCCCCTCAATTCCCACTGCTCCTTCTCCAGTCAACAAACATGGGTGCTCCT